AATGAATGTGAGTATTGCATGTATATGTTCTGCATGAATATATGTGTTTAGTGAATTTCAGTATGTTGACTTTTGCATGAATATATGTTGACCATTGATAGAATATATGTTGTGATAGAATATATGTACTGCATGAATATTATGTTGGGGTTTAGGGAATTAATATCACTTTTACACTTTTGTAGTTAATATTTTCACATATTATATTTGTCTATTTATATCAGTTTTGCAATGCACATGTACAAACATGTAACTTTGCAATTTTTATGGTCCCCACATGTTATGTGTTGCTATTAGTATAGTATTTTGAATGTGATCCCCACATGTTATGTGCTTGAATCTATTATTTGAAAAGTTCTTTTTTGTCTATTTTGATATATTGTTAGTATATTCAGTTGTAGTTAAATATTCTTTAATTATTTGAATAATAATGAAAATTTTTCATTAACAGATTTGAATTCTTGAAAATTTACCATTGTAGTACATCATGGGGTTTTTTTGTTAAGAGACCAAGGCTGGAATACACTGGCATACTAGTGGACTACTTTGATAACTGTGATGCTGATGAAATGTCCATCTTTGTAATTATTGATATGATAACCAAATTAGGAATTAGTTATTCACTTAAGATATTTTGGTAAGTGTCAAACATTCCACTAGAGGTCAAACCACTCTTAACTGATAGTGATATCCTTGAAATGCTTAGGGTTTTACCTAGTGACCATAACATTCACATTTATTTGGAAGGCATTGAAAGACTTAATGAACATAATCAAGACTGGTCTGAACATAATGAACCTGAAATTGATGAAGCAGAACCAGTTGAACCAGAAATTAGTGAACCCGAAATTAATGAACCAGAACCAGCCGAGTCAGAAATTAATGAACCAGAACTAGTTGAGCTAGAAATTAATAAACCAGAACCAGCTGAGCCAGAAATTAATGAACCTGAAATTAATGAACCAGAACCAGCTGAGCCAGAAATTAATGAACCTGAAATTGATGAACCAGAACCTGTTGAGGTGAGGATAGATTCTGAGTATGAAGCCCCACAGATAAGTAGTGATGAATCTGACTTTTCTGGTAGTGATAATGACTTTGAAAATTCAAAACTTGAATTATGTGATTTGAATACTGAGGTGGAAAGTGATGAAATGAAGGTTGTTAGTGACTCTGAAGATGGAAATTCTGACTCATTATACAGTGTAGATGAGTCAGATGGTGATGGTTCACATAAGAAGCCTAGACACCCTGAATTTAATACTACCACAGATATTACAAACCTTAAATTAAAGATTGGACTGATCTTTATTAACAAGAAAATATTAAGGGCAGCAATCAGAATGTATGCAATTAAAAATAGGTATAATGTGAAGTTTAGAAGAAATGACAACACAAGAATCCAAGTAAGATGTAAGGCAGGTTTTCCTTGGGTTTTATGGGCCTCTCCACTTGCCCCTAAAGATCCTAGTGATGGTACTTCGCAAATTAAGTCACTGAATGATGAACATACATGTCTTAAGGGGTTTGAAAATGCTAATATAACTGCTAAGTGGATAACAAAACATTATTTTCAATCATTCCATGTTGATCCCAATTATTATGTTAAATCCCTTAAGCAAGATATGCGTAATGATTATGGCATCATGGTATCTACATCTAAGTGTTCTAGAGCTAAGTTCATAGCCCTTGAAAAGCTGCATGGTAACCACACAGAACAGTACACCAAATTGTATGATTACCTAAATGAGCTTAGGTACACAAATCCAATCACAACCACTGTTTGTCAGTTGGATGAGAGAGTTTTCAAGAGGGTTTATATTTGTATGCAAGTAATGAATGATGGGTTCAAATCAGAGTGTAGGCTAATTATATGTTTGGATGGGTGTCACCTAAAGGGATTTTTGGGGTCATCTGTTAGCCGTTGTTGGAGTTGATGCAGATCACTCTATTTATCCATTAGCGTTTGCAGTTGTAGAGAGTGAGAATCAATCATCGTGGTTCTGTTAGAATTACTGGGTAATGATTTGGAGTTGAATAATTCTCACATATTGACATTCATGATTGATAGACAGAAGGTATTTATTCTCATACTTTTAAAATTTTTATTTATTTTAAATCATTCTAATTTTGATTTCTAATCTTTTATTTTGCTTTGTGTAGGGGCTGGTAGAAGCTGTGGCAGAATTGTACCCCAATACAGAACATAGAACATGTGTGAGACACTTATATTCAAATTTTAAGAGCAATGGTCATCACAAGGAGAAAGCATTGAATGACCAACTATGGATGGTTGCTAGGGCAACATATGTTAGGGAGTTTGAATATTTCATGGAAGGAATGAAGGTATATATATTTTTGGTAAACTTGTTATTTTACATGTGTTCATGTTGATGAAGATTATAATAAAAATAATTTTTTTTTCATGCAGCTTTTATCAAGGACATCACACAAGTGGTTGTCAGAGAAGGATCCTAAAATGTGGTCAAAGTCACACTTCTCTTTCAAAGCCAAGTCAGACATATTGTTAAACAATCTTTGTTAGTGTTTCAATAAGGTGAATATGACAAACAAATTCATACAACTTTTAAAAATATTGTTATTATGTAATCTAAGATGTTTTTTTTTTCATTTTGTGATTAGTTGATACTTAAAGCTAGATACAAACCAATTATTACATTGTTGGAGTCCATTAGAACAATGTTGACGCAAAGAATTGCAAAAAAAATGATCAAGCTAATAAGTTTGTTGGATCTGTATGCCCTAAAATTCAGAAGAAACTATGCAATGCAATATCACAAGAAAATAGGTATAACTTTGTATATTTTTGCCATTTGTTTTGATTGCATATTGGTAATGCTTATGTATGATTTGGTTAACTTGCTAATACATATTCTTCATGCATATTGTTATTACATATTGTTACTACATAATGTTATTGCATATTGTTCATGCATATTGTTATTACATATTCTTCATGCATTTTGTAATTGCATAATTGAATACTGATATTACATATTGTTCATGCATATTGTTGTTGGCCCATTCATACTGGTGGACCAACATACCAAGTTTCATGTGGTCCTTCAAATCAGCATTGTGTCAACATTGAAACTAGAACTTGTTCAGGTAGAAAATGGGAACTAACAGGTAACTTAATGTTTTATTAATATAATGCTAATTTTTTTCTTTTCTTTATTTTTATAATAACTAATTGTTTTTTAATCTAGGTATTCCTTGTATACATGCAATTTTTGTCATAGTCATGAATCATGAAAAACTAAAAAACTTTCTGGACCAATGCTACTTAGTGAAAACCCAAATGGACATATACTCACATTTTATCAACCCGGTAAAAGGTCCTAATCAGTGGACTCCTATTGAAACAATGGAGTCTATCTTACCACCTACCTTGAGAAGGCCACCGGGAAGACCACACAAGAACAGAAGAAGGGAGGCTGATGAAGCACCACCTTATACTCGTAGGGTGACAAGGAGGGAGTTAAAATATTATGTAGAAAGTGTGGGGAATCAAATGAAGCTGTCATGCAAAATCAAACAAGTAGTTCAAGGTCACAACAACCTGCAGGGGTCTATAATGTTAGATGCATTCCCACTTCCATTGTACCATTGAGTCAAGATAGTTGTGTCACTCAATCGTCTCCCCATCAACAAGCTCCAACACTAAATCAAGCTGCGATGCAAAATCAAAGCACTAGTCCAAAGGCACAATCACCTTCACAAGGCTATACTGTTAGATGGATGCCCACCCCCACTGTCCACATTAGGCAGCAAACTTTTTTAAGCCAGTCATCTCCAAAGAGGCATAAAAGTGATACTTCTAGCAGCCAACCATCTCCACAAAACTAGACCTTTTGTTTGATATTTTGAGTAGTGCATTTGACCATACACATTATAGTGCTTTTATCAGTTGATATTGTTAGGTTTTGTAGTGATAGTTGAAAAGAGCTTATATATGTCCAAACAATTGTTCTCTAAATCTTTTGTTTATTTGCTTATGTGTATTGATCAAACATTCAATGTATGTCATATATTGGCTTGAAAATGAATTCAATGACATTTTTTGTATGTTTTATATCCTTATATTTGAAGCATTTCCTTAAGACAAATCTATCTCACAAATTCAACATTTCATTTCATTAATACTTAAAGCATTACACTGAAAATAACAGGTTACATACATTGCATCTTCAATTCTAACACAAGTCTTGCATCTTCAATTCTAACACAAGTCTATTAAACGATACAATGTAGTTAACAACACATAGCATAATATTATCCTAATTTACTCCCACAAAGAAGACAAAAAAAGAAGACTTAAATGATTATAATTCCCACTATCACTCCCACAAAGAAAACAAGAACAGAAGTCAAAACCCAAGTCCCTTTTCCATAATTTCCACAACCCTAAAATCTCCTACCAGGATTTTCGTCAGTCCATCCGGTTGTTAGCATCGAACAAACTCCACATAAGCACATCCGATTCTCATTTTCTTCATTCATGTTTCGAAGCAGTCTTCTCTTGTTCTTCCTTCACTCTTTGTTTCTTTTATTTTCAGCAGCTATGTTAGGGTTTTTAGAATGAGAAAACATTTGAATTTTAAACTTTGGGTGCCCTTTAAATTGTTTTTTTCTTATGTTTTAATTGACGTGGCGTGTTGCATGTCCATGACGTGGTGTAGTGCATGTCCAACCTCGAAACAATAAGCTTAATCAGCAGCCACGTCGGACTTTCCGTTTTATTTTAACGGAGAGTGGTCTGATTGAATCAATTAAAAAGTTTGATGGTTGAATTGAGATAAAAATAGTTCGATGGTAAGATTGATTATTGACTATAGTTTGGTGGTCTCCCGTATAATTTACCCTAAAATAATATATTTGTAGGAAATAAGAGTTGTCTTATTTCCATCGTGGCAAAACAAAGGGAGTAAAAATGAAATAAATCAATTTTTAAAAAAGGGGGTTTCAAAGTGTTTCTCTGCGTTAACTGGAAAATAAGGAGAAGAACCCTCGAGAGTTGCCGCCGCTGCCATCTTCTCTCCCTAGCACCTCCTCTGTCATCTTCTCTCCCTAGCGCCGCCACTGCCGCTGTTCAATTATCGCATTCGTGGACTTGAGTTATAAGTTCCTAAAGGTCAAACTCAAATCTTCTCTGGTTTTTTACTTTGAAGGCCTAAAACATATTTATAATAATATTAATTTTTTAAGTATGAATATTAGTATATCTTATTATTAGTGATATTGAATCATGTGCTTTAAAATGGGTGATCTCTTAGTCAAGGTCGAATATTTAGTAGAGATAGAATGCTTGTCAAATTCCTGAAGTTCTTGAATCTTTAGAAGTTTGGGTAAAATGGAATTGATAATATTTTATTCATTCAAAAACAGTTCCAAATAATAATATTCATTATTATTTTCATCCAAAGATTTTAGTGCTCGGTTTCCGTTTCTATTAATTTCGCAATATTCTAATAATTGACAATAATAATGTAATTATTATTTTAATATCAGGTTACTAAAATTTTGATAATTCTGAAAACCTTTCAAGTTGTTTTCTTCTCCCTCTATTGTCTAAATAGATTTATATATATATATTGGTAAGTATTATGTGTGTGTTCTCTCCCTTATTTTTAAACTAGATATTTGATTGATGTATAATTCTTTGTGTGTGTTCTCCCCTTGTCTTTGTTTGTGTTGATTCGTTGTTTGATAATTATTTTAGTGTTGGATGTGTGCGTGCTCTACCCCTTGTGTTGGATTTAAGCATTATTATATGTTTCTTCATTTGTTTCTTTTGTTTTTTCAATTTATTATTTTAAGAAATTATAGATTGTCCTATTTTTAGCTCTTACATTTGAATATACTTCAGGTATGGACTGTGTATTGAAGCTAAAGTCAGCATTTAGCTGTTGTGATTTGTCAGTTAAGATATCAACGAATAGTGGCATGGATTATAATTTTTTTTATAGAAGATAGGCCTCATTAAAATCCCCCTTCAAATCCTACATGTTATATCAGTAACATGAAGGACATAGGAAGGAGGAAAAGAGTGCCTCTGAATTTTATTGCTCTGAATCATAACGTACAACCAATTCCTAATCATAGACTGCTTGTAACATAAGACTTAAAAACATAATACATACTGCAGCAGTAAAACCAGAAACCTAAAAAACTGACAAACCACAACAACTTAAGAACCTCAACACATTACCACTAGATCAACCAATACCAGCCTTTGCTAACTCATCCGCTTCCCAATTAGCAGCTCTCAAAATATGTCTTGAAATGATGCCCTTTCCTTCCACATTAGAAGCTACACCTCTAACCAAGGTCTGAAATAAAGGGGTACATAGATATGGATTTTTAATCCACTTCAGAGCCGTGGTCGAGTCCGATTCCAAGATAATCCTCTGTCTTGGAGAAGAACTTACTTCTTCAATGAGAGTCAATCTTCTTTTGATCGCCATTAGCTCTGCAAGAATAGGAGGACCACCTCCAATTTTTTCTGAGAATGAACCAAGTAACAAACCCTGTCATCCCTAATCAAACCACCTATTCCACCTTTGTCCCATCCCTTAGCCATTGCCCCATCAACATTTAGTTTAAGGAAACCTTCTGGAGGAGGTACCCACTTAGTAGGAGGAGAACACCCTTTTTTCTGTCTTTCATTCGAATCTGCCAGTTTTAGATCCCCAACTAGAGAATCGAAAGGACCTTTAACATCCTTAAATCTCACCCCAAACCAAATAGCAGTTTTAAATCTAGCAAGAAAGAACAGCATTGTAGAATCCACCTTTTTTTTCTGGAAAATAATATCGTTTCTGCATTTCCAAACCGACCACAACACCGCCCTTGGAATGAATTTCCAAATAGTTGATCTCGGAACTAAATCATCCCACAAAATTAAAAAGTCTATCATCTTCCTAGGAACCACAAAAGAAACGTTCCAGTCCCTCAAAAATCTAGACCACAGAAACCAAACCACCTCACAATGCAAAAACAGATGTGAAATTGACTCCTCACACTTCCCACACATCGGACATAAAAGATCATCAATTCCAGTCACACCTCTCGTCAAAAGCTCCTCCTTAACTGCTACTCTTTGATGTGCAGCTTGCCAAACAAAAGCTTCTACACGTGGAGGTGCAACCCCTGCCCAAACGTGCCTATCCTAAATACCCTCTTCTCCATCATTGCCCTCCTGATCATAAAATTTTGTGATGCACGATTTAGCTGAAAAACAACCCTCCCCATTACCAAGCCATATCCAACAATCTTCCTCCAATAAAGAAAGAGTTGTGCTGTTCAACAATGAAATAAGCTGCAACCTTTGCTCAACCTCCCAATCCACCAAATTCCTTCTCATTTGTATATCCCAAACCCTACCGGAATTACTGTTCATCCTGAATTCTGCCACCTTACCCCTTTTGTTATTCGATAATGCAAAAAATCTCGGAAACCTCTCCTTCAGTGGAACCATACCCAGCCATATATCATTCCAAAACTCCACTGATTCTCCATTTCCAGCTCTTAAACACATGTTTGTGACATGGGACATAAATTTGATACAGCAGTAGCAATAGGAATCAAAATGTAAATGGTGTTTTCCTTTTACTTGAAAGTTTTGTTTGCGAGCTTCTTTTATTATGGAAACTTCATCGGTAGTATTTTTCTTATTCTGAAAGAAGTTTTAACAATTAAGTTACTTCATAAGATGCTTGAACATCTGTTAAAGTATGTGCTGATTTGTTAATTTTTTTTTTTTTTTTGCTTTTAGATCCAGTTTTTGTATTTGATTGTAAGTTTTATTGGCTTGGTTTTGACTGTGATTGTATTCGCAAGTTTTCATTTTTGGCAATACAAATTATAATTGTTTCTTGATAAAATGTTCTCACTTCTTCATGTATCCTAAAATCCCCCACGTACATATATATACATATAAATTTGTTTCTTTTCAATTTTAAAAGCCCTTGTACTATTTTCCGGCCAAAAATCTGTATCACTCAACTCCATCGCTGTTTTTGCTTTGTTTCAGTCTGGTTTTGTAGTACTTGAAGAAATGGTTGCCGGAAGAGCAAAATTACTTGCAATTTAGAAGGGCTCCGATCGATCTTGCTAAACAATCAATTACAGCTTTTGCAAATCCGAATTGCCAAGCAAAGCGGAACAAAAAGTCAAAATCCCAAAACACGAAAGCCATGGTAGTTGCGAGTTCCAATCCCCACAACAAGGAGATGCAAATTCGTAGAAGAATAAACAACATGTAATTCCTATGTTTTTCTTGCCTCTCCATTGCTATTCTGTATTACTAATTCAGAAAGTTTATTGGTGTTTTTTTTTTAATTTAATTTTGGGATTTTTTTAAAACTAGATACAATAAAAGAGAAGAGGATTTCCCATCACTGAGAGAATACAATGATTACATGGAAGAAGTGGAAGATATGAGTAAGTTTTGCTTTATTCCATATTCCAAACTATTTGGGTTTTTCTGTTAAACAAACTAATTTGTGGTTTTGTTGGGCAGTTTTTAAATTGATTGAAGGAATTGATGTTCAAGCTATTGAAGAACAGATTAGCAAGTATCAGAAGGAAAATGCTGAGCTGATTATGATCAATCAAGCTCGGAAGGTACCTTTCACTTTCTGTTTTTATTTACAAAACTATCTCATGGAAAATTTATTTTTAAGCTAATAATATAAGTTGTTTTGATGAACAGGCTGAAGATTTAGCTGCAGCAATGGCAGCAAGTAAGGGACTTGCTACGCAGGCCGATACTGATGGGGTGAGAAAATCCTGTTGTCTTTGCTTTTTTAGACGTTTACCAGTAGTTGTTGAATTCTGTTTCTAAATTAAAGCATGCATCATCGGTTGATCATATACAACTTTGGTCATGTGTTGTTACAACACTGCCTTGGTCAATCTCGGTAGTTAAAGTTGTCGCTATTAATCTCTTAATCTCATTCATATTGCTACGGGCTCGAGCAAAATGACTAATAGCCAGTTCATTCTAACAAAAAAAGTAGACCAAGTAACAGCCAGTTCAAATGTTTGATGTTTTAGATGGATGGTGGTGGTATATTTGACAGTTTGTGAGTTTTTCCCTTTCAGGAATTTATTTATTTTGTTTCCCATTACTGGAAAGAAGAAGAGAAAATATGTGCTTGTGCAAGTTTTAATTTGTTTAACCTTAGTGTTCATGACTTCATGTATTTGATATCTCGATAGCAATCTGCTAGTTTTGATTTGGACATTTTCAGCTACTATAGTTTTCTTCATTTATCGAACTCACAAAGCATAACTAATATTTCCTTATTTATTTTGATATTTCCTCGAAATAATGTTTAGAGCATTTTGATTTCTTTTACTTCAAGTTCTAATTAAGATGCAAGACAACTTATATATATTGCTCATCATTGCTGTATATTGTTGGAGTGGATGGATCTTAGCTTCCATATTTCTCAAATAATGTTTCTTCTGCAGCTCTTTGAAAGCAAAATTATTGTGACTTCTATTTTTTTTTTGGTCAAAATAATAATTGGATACTTCGACGTATGAACTTTTCAATTTCTTATATTATATTCGTTTTTGACTCTTTTTTTCTTGCATGCAACATGTAACATGATATAAATTGATTGATTGTTTACTTAAACTGGCCCTATGCCAGAGCTCTCAAGCAGGGTTCGCAGCTAGTGCTCAAGGTCAATATGCACCAACAGTTGCTGGAGGGCAACCACGACCAACAGGCATGGCACCACAACCTGTACCACTTGCCAGTGGGTTGGATATGCACGATTATGCTCTTGATGATGAGGAGATGATGAGGCACCGAGCAGAAAGAAGTGGAAGAGCAGGAGGATGGAGTATAGAGTTGAGCAAGAAGAGGGCGCTGGAAGAAGCCTTTGCAAGCATATGGGTTTGACGTTGTTGATGAAATATCACCGTTTACTCCATGCAAATGTAGCTCGGGTTACATTCTACCAAATCTTGATATACTGCACGGGCCGTACGCCAACATGGATGGGGACTGTAAAACAATTGTTTCTCTATTTGTGAATGTTGAAGTAACTCCGTATTTGGTGCAACTTTGCTCATCATTGCATGCTATTAATGCCAGGGTGACTTGTAAGGAGGTTTTGAATGTATGCAAATTTCTGGAATTCTGATTCTTTCATTTCAGGCTTATATGTAGTGGATGGAACCGTGTTGATCATCTTCCCGAAAACTCAGTCAAATCTGGAAGTTTATCAAACACCAAGAAATGCTAAATTCCATTGGAAGCATGCCAAAAATGGTATTTTTCATATATGTATACTCCTTTAAATTGCGATATAAAGAATTTTACATATTTTCGCATTCATATTTGTAACATTTGCGTCGTGTTGGTGTCACGATTAAAATTTTGTATATACTAAATGAATTTATTTAGTATAAAAGTAGCAATACAATTCAAATCAAAAGATAAATAAATTTTTATTAACTATAATTTAATATGTAAGTTTATAATATATTCAATTATTTCTATCATTAACAAAAAATATTAAGAATATATAGAAAATGTTACAAGTTTTTTAATTATGTAAACTAGTCTAGTGATCAAGATGATCCTATCCTTATTTAGAGTTTCATATTTGAGTCTTCATATTGGAAAATTCAACAATGAATGTCGTATATTGAAATATACCACTAATTAAAATTATTCTTATTAAGTAAATATTAAAAAGGTAAACTACATGTTTAGTACATAAAATATCACTTTTGTTTCGTTTTAGTACCTTTTTTTATAGAAGTAGGAGGTCTCATTAAAACCCTCTTCATATTTATCCCTTTTCAAGAGGATAGGGATACCTAGTGGAAGGGGGAAAAGAGTACATCAATTTATTGATTTCTCAAAATTACATAACAAAACCTTTACAAAACATCCGTGACGAAGACCTCAAAAGATTCTAGAACAACCTATATAGCTGCTAACAATTAACCGATCCCTTCCTTAGCTAACTTGTGAGCCTCCCAATTACAACCCCTAGAAATGAACTTTACTATCAATGCCCTATACAAAACAAAAGACTCTATCTCCTTAATTAAATTACTAAAGAACATCGGGACAAGTAATGGAGAGTGGATCCATTCCAAGGCAGTTTTGCAGTCACTTTCGAGAATCAACCTGCCTTTAGTAGACCAGATTGAGGAATAAAAAACTTCAATTGCTTTTTTAATAGCCTTCAACTCTGTTAAAGGGGAGGGGCCTGGCCCAATACTCTCTGAAAACGTCGCTAAAACATAGCCCTCTAAATTTCTAAGAATACCCCCTATGCCACCAGCCATCCCATCACTTCGAACAACACCATCAACATTAAATTTAAAAAAAATCTGATGGAGGAGGTAGCCATTTAGAACAATTTAAAATATTTTAAAAATTAATAAATAATATGATTTTAAAAATTAATAAATAATATTATTTTAAAAATTAATTAGAATACTTGAAAATATTTTTCTAATATTGAAAATATATTTTTTAGAAAGATTTAATATAAATTTTATAAAAATATAAAAAATAATTATTTATTTTTATTTAAAAATAATAATATTTAATTTAATAATGGTATGAGCAAGTATTAAGTTAGTATAATAAACAATTTTTTGCAATATATGACAGTATACGATGGAACTATCCATGATGTTAATAGACGGTGGGTACAAGGTTTTGCGAAAGGTATTGGATGTTGTTCAATTGTGAATTCGAAACTTTGGGGGTGGCTATAAGGGACTGGTTTTAGAATGAAAAATGAATTTGTGAGACATTAAAGTAGAAACATATAGTAAAGAAGTACTTTAATTGCTAAAAAAAGGTATTAACATGACACATACCTCCCATGATTCTACATATCATCGATCTGAGTAATAGAGATTGGAATATACAGTTTGATTTTATTTCTCAAGAAGGAAATAAAGTAACAGTTATGATGACGAAATTGACATGGGGATTATCGTTTGGACATAGAACATACACCCACCCACCGAAAATAATCAAGTTGTTGTTGCAAGAAGATAGTTTTGATAGATGGATACACACTGCTAAATCCAATGAAGATTAAACGATTATTGTTTTAAGTTTTTCCTTTATGACTAAGCTTTCGGTCATTAGTTAATTTTTTTTGATATCGTGTTAGTTTATTTATTTTTGAAGGTGTTTGTATTTGCTCGTTTATTGTTCATGAACATGTTTACAAATATGTTCGTTTATATGTTCGTGAACAAGTTCATTTAACGTTTGTGAACATGTTCATTTGTAAGCTAAAAATGGTAAAATTACGCCACTAATACTTAAATCCTTAAACTTCAAATTTTATCATGTATTCAATTTAGTCCTTACATTCATCAATATTTAAAATATAAAAAATAAGAAGTAAACAAGCTTATAAACAAGATATTTCATGAACATAAATGAATGAGTCGATAAAAATTTTTATAAATGAGTTTGTAAACGGACAAAACACACATTTGTTTGTGTTCGTTCGTTTACTAAATGAACATATTTTTTCCAAACTCATTTATTTAGCTTAACAAACGAAAATAAAGGAATGGGTCACAAACAATTTACCGAACGCTCTGTTAATTTGTATTACTATTTGTACCCTACGTATTAGGTGGCGACATTTGTATTACTATTTGTGTATTACAAATCGGTTTAGTTCGGCATATTGCGTTCAGGTAAAAATAATAAAACCGCAACCACCATGTTTTTCTATTTGATTTACTTGCTGCTAGTTGTAATTTATAGATAATATACCTAATATTAAGGGTTGGAAATGCTAACTTTTTAAGTTGAGACCAATAGATAAATAAGTATACCCACAAAAAGTAGAATCATAATTATCTATTGTAGCATTGTCACTCTATTTTTTTTTTTTTTTGTAAAGACAACATTTATTTTATGTGAATAGAAAAAAAAACTTGATTTAGTTGTTGTTGAGAGTTTAAATTAATCCTATCGTTTATATTAACATAACTATTCAATTTGTACATACTTCGTTCTTGTCTTCATTTTCATTTTTATTCTTTTGGTATTTATCAGGGTATATGATTATGCGTGCATATTGTGCATTTATGTGTCTTGTTGATTTAGTACGATCATCAATTTGTGTATGCACGACAATGAATCTTTTATATGTCTCATTAGGGATGTTCATTCGGTGGCCGACCGAACCGAATTAATCAAATTTTTTTTTCTTTAATCGTTAATCGAATCGAACTTTTTATGGAAATATTAATCGAACCAAATAAATTTCGGTTAATTTTTGAATTAACCGATTTTTTTTTTAAATTTTCTAATTTATATAAAAATTAAATATTTTTTAATTAAAAAAACAGTTTCAAATTAATTTAAATAATATATAATTATGAAATATAAATTTTATATAATTTTTTTAATTAATTAATATTGATTTAGGTTTAAAAGTTATTGGATCTTAAATTATTAATTGGGTTTTAAATGGTTTGGGCTGAACCCATATGTTATATATAATATATTTAATATTTTTTAATTCAAAAAAACAGTTTACAATTAATTTAAATAATATATAATTATAAAATAAAAATTTATATAATTTTTTTAATTAATTAATATTGATTTAGGTTTAAAAGTTATAGGATCTTAAATTATTAATTAAGTTTTAAATGGTTTGGACTGAGCCCATATGTTATATATAATATATTTAAAATTTAATTTCGGTTAATTAACCGATTTCGAACCGAATTAACCGTTAACCGAATTTTAAATATTTTCTTAACCGTTAACCGACCGAATTAATTCGGTGGCCGACCGAATTAATCGAACTAATTCGATTCGATCAGTTAACCGAATTAGTTCGAAAATTTGAACACCCCTATATCTCATCCTTTGGTTCATGTTGTCACATCATTTATTTTGTTGATGTGCTAAAATGACATATTCCTATTCAACTTTTTAAAAATAATTTATCAGGCATTATCAAGCAATATGTTTTATTTGCTCATAGCTGTCAGGATTTGGAAACAATGAGCGATAATGGTGGCTGAGAGGTAATGGATCAGGGAAGATAGTTGAAGACTAGCATGAAAGCTTACGAATTGTGGCCAAGATGTTGCAATTTTTTTTTTTTTTTTGCATTTTAGAGGGAAACAATTGAATTGCAATGATTGTACATTTTTAGCACATTAATGTAATTTGTAAAAAGATAAGCCTTTATTCTAATTTTTAAATTGTATATAGGCTTTTACTGTAATTTATAAAAGTTTTGGGCCATTTTTGTAATTTTAAAAGTTTTGGGCCATTATTGTAATTTGTAAAAGTTTTGGTCCATTATTTAATTTGTAAAATTTTGAGCATTATTGTAATTTATAAAAGTTTTGGGCAACTATTGTAATTTATAAAAGTTTTGGGCAACTATTATAATTTATAAAAATTTTGGGTAATTATTATAATTTATAAACTTTTGGGTATTATCGACATTTATATTATTATTTAGTGACCATATACAACTTCACTAACAATGTGACAATATTTCTTTCGTCACTTATAAAATCAAAATATAGTATTATCGGTGACGATAGGAATAATCAATGACATAATTTTATTTATTTGATGACGTAATTAGTTGTCACTAAATACAAGTTATAAGGTGACAATATATATTAATGTCAATATATGTATGATAATACTTGATGAAAATAAATACATTGTCACTCTTGACATTTAGTGACACACTTAGGGTGACGTTCGTCGTGACATCAAATTTTATGTCACAAAATACAAATAGTGACGTAAATGTAAGTTCCGGTGACAATATTTTAAATGCCACCAATAAGAAAATTTATTGTAGTGATTACACTACTAACACTTAAACTCTTTAAACTTCATAGTTTAAACTTCAAATTTTATCATGTGTTCAATTTAATCCTTACATTCACCGATATTTAAAATATAAAATATAAAAATTTAGAAGTAAACGAGCTTTTATAAACAAGTCATTAAACAAGATATTTCATGAATATAAACGAATGAGTCAATAAACAAACTTATAAATGAGTTTGTAAACGAACAAAACACACATTTATTTACGTTCGTTTGTTTATTAAATGAACATAATTTTTTTTTCAAACTTATTTATTTAGCTTAACAAACGAAAATAAACGCATGAGTC